ACTGATTTTTAATAATTGTAATAATGTAATTTCTAATTTTTGTTCTTGCAGTTTCTTTATTAGGTTAAATTCAAATTTTTTTTAATAATTTTGGTTGTTTTCTTTTTTTAAATAACTTTTCAGGAGATTTTATCACTTTTCTTTTATTTGGTATTCATTCCATTAGTTTTGGTTCAAAGTTTTTGTTTTCTTTCTTCTTTTTTTTTGAATTGGTCTTATAGTCATAAATTAATTCTAGTTCTACAAATTCTTTTCTTCTTAAATTTCTAAAACTGTTAAAGTTTTCATTCAACAGTACCATAATTTCTTTTATTTCTTCTTCAGTATTATATTTATCAACTTCTTCAATACTTATAAAATTGGTAGAAGTATGATTTCGGTTATTATTATTTTGATTTTGATTTCTATTGTTGTTCCTTCTTTTATTTTCATTCTGATTCATTCTGTTACTTTGTTGATTATTTCTGTTTATATTATTATTTTGATAATTGTTCCTATTAAAATTATTATTGTTATTGTTGTATCTATAATTATTATTGAAATTTCTTTTTAAGCTTTTGTAGTTTTTTCTAACGCTGGTCAAAAATTGATAAATAATACACATATCAGGTACCCGATATGTGCATGGTACGTTCCTAATATCGGGCATATATCGGGTACCCGATAGATGTAAAAAATATTTTTTTTACACTTATCAGGTACTCGATATATATATAAAATATTTTCTATACCTATTGAGTACTTGATATATGCCCGATATTAGGAACGTACCATGCATATATTGGGTATCTGATATGTGTATTATTTATCAATTTTTGACCAGTGTAAAATGGTCTCTTTTTTTTATAATTGTAACATTCGATACCATTATTTTAAGGTTCTTCAATTTTTACTATTTTAATTTTCAATTTTTCAAACTGTTTTACTAATTGTTCCATAGAATTTTCTTTTGGTATTTCTTTTTTTTTAATAATTTTCTTTACAGGTGTTTCTTCATCACTAGAAAATTCTTCTTTAAAAACTACTTTCTTCTTCTTCTTGTTAATTCTCCTTTTATATTTTATCTTATCCTCAGGTTCTGTTTCTTCTTTTAAATTTTCAGCTACTTCATACTTTTGAATTAATTCTACTAGTCCCTTTACATTATTCAGTTCATGCATACTTGCCACTAGAAATAATCTTTTTCTCAGTTCTCTAGTAAAGTAAAACATTTTCTATTTCTCTCCTATTTCTTCTAACTTTTTCATAATCTTTTTGAATCTTGTATGATATCTTTCGATTGCTTCTCCAGGTTGTTATTTTAATTTTTCTAATTGATTTCTCCATTTATTTTTTCATCTTTGATTACAAAATATTTCTTTAAAAAAGGTTTTTAATTCTTCCAAAGTGAAATATCAGTTGTCCTCTTCTCCTCTTATATATATTTCTTGATACCATTTTTTAGTATCTTCTTCTAAAAATCTATACAGTTTTTTTCTTATCCTATCTTTATTCTATTGATTAATAATTACTACTTTATCAAATTCTTTCAACCATTCTTTAGGATCTTAAGTTCCATCTCCAGTAAATCTTTGAAGTTTAAATAATAAAAGATCTATTCTTTCAGTATTATTATTTAATTCTTCTTGTTCTCTATCTTCTTCTTCTTCACTTAAATGTCTTTTTCAAATTCAAATATGTCATTATCTTCTTGATTATTTTCTTTTACTAAATTTTTCAAATTTTGTTATTCTATTTTGTTTTCCTTGTCTGTTGTTATTTTTAATTGTTATCTAAAACTATTACTTCTTGATCTTGTTGCTTTTCTTAATCCTTCAGTTATTTCTTCTTAAATATTTACTATTTTTCTTCTTAATTCTTCAAAATCTTTTTCACTTACTTCTGAACTTTGATATGATTCTTTAAGTAAGTTTTCTCTAGTTGTCTCATAATTTGAATTAACAGAAAAAGATAGTGATGAAGTAGTTTGTTAATTTTCTCTTCTCTGTATATTTTAATTAATATTTTTCAACTCTTGATTAATATTTAGATATGGTATTTCTTTTTTATATAATTGATATTTCTTTTTGTATGTCAGTTTTTTAATTATTTTTATTTTTCTTTTCAATTTTTTTGAAAATTACTTTGTCATTTTGCTGTCCCTTTTATAAATTTTCTTTGTTGAACTATTTGTGATTATTTGAAAATTCCTTATTTGAGAAATGTCTAAAGTAGGAATGATAATTTTATGTAATTATATAATATCACATAAAATTACAAAATTTGAGATTTTAAATTGCTACAAAATTTATTAAAAATCTATTGCTTTCATATAATTTATTTTTTTCATATTACATAAATTCATAATTTATTTATTTTCTGTTATATAAATTCATAATTTTTACTAAAATATATTACAAATTATCTATATTTAGTAATTCACAAAGAAATACAAAATTTAACTTTATCACATACAAAATTTACTTTATAACTTCACAAAAAATCATCATCTCTGATCTAAAGACATGTCCAGTTATGTGATTCTTCAATTGACAGTTGGATCTAATTAACTAAGTAATCTATTATGTATTACCTCCAACTAATTAAATTATAAAATGATTTTTTAGATTAAAAATAAAAATAAATAAAAATAAAAAATAAAAAATAAACTTTGTTCACTTTAGTTATTCATCTATCTATCTATCCTCATCTCTATTAACAATGAAGAAATCCTGTAACAAGATAGTTTTTATAATAAATTATACATTTATTTATTTTTTATTATTAATAAAATTGTTTTTTATTATTTTTTTATTATTTAATATTTAATTTTTATAACATAGTAGTGACACAATATTACAAGTAAAAAAAACTTTAACTTTTATAAAAAACAAGTATAACAGAAAACTCACTTTTCTCACAATATTTTATATAGTGAACCTATTCATTTCTTTAGTAACAAATATAGATTTACTAATTTTTAAAGAACTAACTCCTAGTCAAAAGCACAATTCACTTTTTAATATTGATAGCAATTGGTAGTCACTTATTTCAAATGTTTAAATGGGATTTAATTTTAAAAAAAAAACAAATAGCAATTTGTCATATACATATATATGTTGTTTAATCAAATATAATCAATCTAGTACTCAGAAGAAGGGAATTTCAAGTAATAATTGATGAAAAACAAAAATTCATCAGTCTCACTTGTACTTTACTAAAATTAAAGTACAAAAGTTTATTGCAAAAGGAAAAGTATGTGTTGAGCACTTTGAAAACTCACCTGACCATATGCACTCTTTGAAAAAAAGTGATAAGGTTAAATGTTCACAAGTTATTTGAAACTTAGTTGAACAGAGGCCATAAAGAACTATCGTTTGCCAGCAATCCTTAATGCAGTAAAAGAATATGCAGCAGAAACAATGGATCTAAATTTAAGTATAAAGGAACTGAGATTTAAGGAGGTCACAAATATTAAGTATAAAGTTCATGGGACTCTTGCTCACCTTATTGGTAGTCTTGAATGAAAAAAAAATATTCAAGAATCAATTTTTTTTTTTGAAGCAGAAGAAGTATCAGGTTGAATATTATATGATTTCTAATAAATTCACTCATGGCTTCATTTTTATATACCAAAAGCAAATTGAAAACTTTGAAAAATATGGATGGTTAAATCTTATCGATTTAACACATAAAACAAATTGATATGATTACCACTTATTCACCTTGTATATTTGTAATGAATATAGCTGTTGGGATGTTGGTGTACACTTTTTCAATGAGAATTCTTAGTTTTATATTCAAATTATAGATTTTAGATATAAACACATGTATAAAATCATATATTTTTAATAATTATAACATGAAATAAAAAATATATATACAAATACATTCAACAAAAATTAATAAATAATTATTATTTGTTCATCTTTTTATTACTATTAAATCATGTGGATAATGGCCAATAACAATTTATATTTTCAGACATCACATATATCTATTATATAATACACAGTGGTGATATAAAAATATAATTTTATTGGCTTGATAAAGAAGCATTATTATTGGTGATTAAAATTGATGATTAGTGTAATTGTGTAATTAATGTGATGCGCAAAAATTTGTAATTCTATGATTCATGTCAGTTAGAAATTGATATGCTCAACGGCACGGGTTCCGCTAGTGTGATATAAAACATCGAAGTGAAACAAATCAGCCCATATGTATTTTATTTAATTGGCTAATCCACTGACCAGACTTATTTCGAAAATAACGATAATTAAGTATTTCCTTGGGGGTTTATCATAGTGGAATCCCTGTAGATTATCATCAGCTATGTGTACGTCATTTTCACTAGCATCAGTCATAAGACATGTGAGCATCCGTGATATTAAATAATTGTTTAAAGCTTGTGAATTCTGCGGGTATATTCACAAAGGGTGGATTCAAGGTTTTTTGCTGCCCAATGAAAATGGCGCTTGTGATATTTTCCTTTAATACCTTACTAAAAAAATGGTCAGCTTAAGCTAACGTGGTGCCTATTCCCTTACAGGACTTGTTGCTATCTAATTTCTAATTTAGATTTTAATTAGTATAGTGGAATTTTATTAGTAATGATAAATGTAGGCGTCCTAAGCAAATTATGCATATATAATATTCGGAATGAATTGCTAATGCATAACATTAGTATTTTAAATTTTATAATAATTTATTAATTATCCATCAAATAAACTAATTAAGTTCGCTATACGGTAAAACTTAGCTTCCAATAGATACCCACAATCAAAAATTTTGAATTTTTTTTTTTTTCTTGGGTAAATTTGGTAAATTGCCGTTTGAGAGAGTGAATTGAATGTATTAAAGAAATCTTTAAAAAGATATGATGCAAGAATTAAAAATAGAGGTAAAAGGTGAAATAAATAAATAACTAAATGAATGAATAAATTTTTATATATTTTTTAATTTTTAATTTGGTTTTATTTACCTAAATCTCAAACTTTAATATAGGCGCTGAGGTTTACCCATAGATGATTTGATATATAAACTTTTCACATTTTGCCAATTTTTCTTTAGTAAAGAAACCAAGAAATTAATGCTTAACATAATGTTTGCAACTAATTCATCTTCATTCATTTTAACGTGACCAACTGCTACTCCCAAACATAATACTTTCTTTAATTGGAATTTAATTGTTGAACGTAATTCATCGGCCTTTGCGTTTAAATCGTCATTATGAGTAACTGGAGTAGGGAATTTACCCGCTATTTATGATGAAATAGAATAGAATAATTAAATCTATGAAAAGATGATGAATAGTATGATAAAAATTTTATGATAAAAATTTTAACAATTTACCTTTATGCAATCCAGGACCCAATAATCTTGGAATTTGTTTAATTAAAGCTTCACTTGCCAAAAATGCATCATATTTTTTAGCAAGTTTTTTAATTAGTTTTTTATTTTTATTAAGTTTTTTAAGATCATCAACGCTCATAAAATCCAAGCCAATTTCTTTGGCACGATCACAATCGTGAGCATCTCCAAGAATGGCTACGGACATTTTAGGACGCGGAACGTTAGGAAGTCTGTATAATTAAAAATAATATCAATTATATACTTCTTTAATGATGTCTCATTTAACATAATCTTTTTTATATCTTACTTTACGGTCCCACTGAAACGTTTGTCCCTCTGAGGATCATAATTTTTTAAGCCAATTTGTAATTCAATAGTTTCAGTAAATTTACGACCCTTTTCATTAGATTCTGTTAAAACAGTTCTTATCGCTTCTCTCACGGCTGGCACTTGAATCTTACTTTAAATACAAATTGAAATTAGTGGAATTTATGAAATTAATAATAAATGGTTAATAATAATAATAATAATAATAATAATAATAATAATAATAATAATAATAATAATAATAATAATAATAATAATAA